ACAACATACGCATTTCTGGATGGCCCTTCCCCACCAGGATGGCCGTCGTTTGAACGCTTCAGGAAGGATTGGAGGAAGGAGGAATTGAGCAGGATCTAGTCTCGAAGGCTTTCACAGCCGGGATCCGATGGTTGCGGTAGATTTTCTGGGCTGTTTGGCCGTGTTCTAGAAGTTTTTTTCTTCCTAACATCTTCAGAGGACAGGAGTCAGAACTCTGTATTCTGGTGCAGTTCATGGGATAGTTGAGTATTTATAGCTGTGGGATCAGCTTTTTGTCCTTTTCTGGAGACTGGGTGATTACTGTATGGTGATCAAGGTGTTTTTTGTTATGAGTGTATTGTTGCGATAAGGGGGTCACTATCCCACAAATTACACCAGAACACTGACAAAGTTCTCACTCCTGTCCTCTGAAGATGCCGGAGAAACATTAGGAAGAAAAACCTTCAGAACACAGCCAAACAGCCCGAAAAACCTACAACAACCATGAGCAGCATCTGTTCACAAACCTTAGTTATCCACCTCGATGCTTCTGCAACGTGTATTGACCCCTTAGGTTTATTGCATCGCAATTGCAGTTTAATACACCCTCTATGCGTGCAACAAAATTAAAATATAAATTTAAAAAATGAAAGATTACCAACTGGCCACTAGAGGGCACAGTCGACAAAACCAACTCTGCTTAAGCAACAGCAGGCGTTAGGGAATCTTGGGGGGGCGCAGGAAGTGTTAATTGTTCTTTACGAAATATTAATTTACCTCCTGTCAAGTCAATTCCAACTTACGTTGACACTTTCCAGGGCTTTCTAGGTACAGAAGACTCAGAAAAGGCTTCTCATCCTCTCCTTCTGGGGGCACTTCTGCAACCACCATGCAGCTCGCCCAAGACTACCCAGGCTGGCTCTTCTCCCAGAGGGCACAGTGGAGAATCAAACTCTCAGCCTCTAGCTCCACAGCCAGAGACCTAACCCACTAAGCTATCCAGCCAGCTCTTACTAACAACCTCATGATACTCTCTCTCTCTTAAAAGCATGAGCCGCTTCCTTGAATCCTTGAGCCCAAGAATCATCTGGCCTGCAGGGACACTCCCTGTGGGTTCATGGACCACAAGGTTTGGTAAAGACCCCCCCAATTTGGCAACCTCGAAACTAGAGCATTTTGACTGACTGGGGGCCCAGAACTGAGTCCAGAGCTGCTGGATAGCTCAATGGTTTAGGTATGAGGCCAGAGGTTGGGAGTTCGATTCCCCCATGGCGTCTCCTTGAGAAGGGCTGGACTTGATGATCAAGAGGGTCCCTTTTCAGCTCTGCTGTTCTAAGGCCATTTTTATTATTTCCGAATCTTGAACTCCCAACAGACTCTCACCGGTAATCAGCAAAGGGCCCTGTTCTTTATTCTTCTTAAAATTCAGTAAGAGCAGCTAATGATTTTTTTTTTGGCACAAGACAGTTCCAGTCATAACACTGTTTCCCTGCTGAATCAGCCTTAATTCCCCAGCAGTGATAACAGTGATATTTCACACATCTCATCGGGGTTCATCCCCTGCAACCAAAATTCCACTATTCCACACTATTCCATTATTTTTTTAAAAAGCCCAAATCCTACCTATTAAGTTCACTGACATAGCTCCATTGGTGTAAATCTCAGCTGTGAATTCCCACAGTTTTAGAAGTCAAGGTGCGCCTTTCCACTTTTGGCACCAGTTACGGGACTCAGCCCGCAAGACCAAGTGCCTACACTAGCATCTTTAACATGCGGCCGTGCGCAGCTGAAGCTTACCCTGATGGAGAGGTGCAATTTGTCAATTCTATTCCAGGCAAACACACAAAAACACGAGAACTCGGAAGATTATTCCTGCACAAGTCAAATTCCTTTTAGCTGAGAGGCGGCCACCAACGCCGCGCCTAACGCGATAAAAAAAGGCGCAGGAACTGTTCTGTCGCCGTCAAACCGAATGCCCAGAAAATGGTTTCATATTTGATTAGCCCCGTCCGTGAGCCTGTCCCCTTGGGCAGCCTTCCTAGATTTTAATTAGCCCTTCTTGATTGAAGCAACGCCCGCTCCGTTCTGGTTTTCAGCCAGGCCGGTTTTGGCAGCTCTAATAAACAGCTTGAGATGCGCGGCACCTGTTCGCCCATTGGGTCTTCCCTTCCGAATAATTGTCCAGAACAACACTGGATGCACTCACAGCTCAAATTAACTAATCAACGTCTCACATTATTGCGAGGAGACACAGAGAGGAGGGGGGATATAAATCTCAGCCCAACCAAGCGAGATCAATCACACCCTCCCCCAAGTCCAACCCGCACAGACGGCGAATCCTGTGCCCCTTGATGCTCGGTTAATGCACACGTTGTGACAGGCGTTTCTAACATTGTGACCTGAGCTGGCGGCTGTGGGAGATCTCCCACATCAAACTCCTCAGGACTGGGTGCAATGAAGCCGGACACATATCCTGACCTCCTCAATGAGCACTGTCAAAACATGCTCCCAAGGGCGCACCATGCCTGTGAAAAGCTGAGCTTCCCTGGACGGCAGCATGGAGGGCAATGTATTGCTCTGGGAGGCTGATCTACCACTCCGGTTGGGGATCTCAGTCCAGTTTTGTGTAGCAAACCGTGACTTTGCTGCAGGTTTGCTGGCACTGTTTGAGGGTCAGGCTTCCTGACCTCACAGAACAGCGCGACTCGTTTCCAGCTGGGAGAGCAGTCAGAAGACAGAGAGATCGATGCGCTTTTGGAGAACCGAGGTGAAACTGCAGGGAGGAGGAGGAAGGTGGAGAAAACTGTTCTGTAAAACTCTGGGTGTTGCTTCTACCGGTGTGTGTGTGTGTGTGTGCACGTGCGTGCGTGTGTACATGGGATGTAGGGGAAAGGAAATCCAGGCACCCGGAGCTTCCCAAAGGAGCCGCCTCAAAGGCTGTGAGACCATTCAGGCACTGACAGGGCCCGTTCACTGATCCTTCCACTCCAGAAACATGAAGGTAAGGCCATGGGATCAGTGTCTCTATGACTAGTTGACAAGGGCCCCGAAGATAAGGTAAAGGTAAAGGTTCCCCTTGACCTTGAGTCCAGTCGTGTCCGACTCTAGGGCACGGTGCTTATCCCCATTTCCAAGCCGTAGAGCCAGCGTTTGTCTGAATTCTGTGGGCATGTAGCCAGCGCGACAAGACACAGAATGCTGTTACCTTCCCACCGAGGTGGTACCTATTTATATACTTGCATTTGCATGCTTTCGATGTGCTAGGTTGGCAGGAGCTGGGACAAGCAACGGGAGCTCACTCCATCACTTGGATTCGATCTTACGACAGCTGATCTTCCAACCTTGCAGCCCAGAGGCTTCTGCGGTTTAACCCGCAGCACCACCACGTCCCTAAGGCCCCCAATAATGAAATGGTTTTTTCAGGATGAAAAGCCCTGGATATATTTACTCAAAGCGCCGTGGTGCTTCTGACGTGAATGGAGAAAGATGAAATTGGCCTAAGCAGGAAATGGGCGGGAAGGAACACCTTGGGCTGAGCAGGTAGGGCATGGATTCGCTCCACCCCAAGCTTTCCTGTTTTGGGTTCCCTTCTGGCTGACAAGAGCAGGTGAAGAAAGGCGGAGGAGCCCTTGGGGCTGGCAGGTTGGCACCTATCTAGAAGGAAACGCCATGGCATAGCTTCTGCTTTTCTGGCAGCAAATCATGCCACCCTCTCCATTTCAGCACCCCAGGACAAAGCCTCGGTGGGCCCCTTCTAGTTGTGACTCTGATGGCGCACCAGCTTCAACCTAGTGCTGAACTCCATGGGCATCAACCGGGGGTTTCCCTTCATTGAAGCGACTAGAATCATCCCCAACCTTGTTGTGATGGGTGGAAAAGTAAGGAAAGGGAAACAGAAAGATAAAACACCATGTAAGGCGTGCATTGCAGGGGTGTGAGATCACCCAAATGGGGAATGTGCCGTATCGCTAACGGTAAGGATTGGGCCATATTATTTTGCTCGCTATGCTTTGACTCGGTTTGTTCAGAGGTTAGCGAGGTTAAGGGAAGGGCCGCATCAACTTGTTTAGTTAGGCGTTCATTAAAGACGGCGTGTTGGTGTGTCTATGGTGGGTGCTTGCATTCTCGTCCGGGCTGCGTGGGAGTAGGCGTCAGTCACTCTTAGCATGGTGAGTCAGTCTTTCTTCACTTCATGTACAAGCCCTTTATAATGAAACTTTCTCCCCACCCCCCACCCCAAAAAAAATTGATTTTAGGTTTTCTGTCTGCCACTTGCCTTCCCCAGATCAGGGCAAACTGGCACAGCAAATCCTTTCTTTGTGACCTACCATCTCTCCGATGTGTAACACACACACCCCTAACGTTGTGGCCAGTTGTGTCTCTGTGTTCATGCCAATGGAAGCTTCTGACATTCTGCTGAGCGCCCATGGGTTTCATTATAAGAAAGCCAATCGGGAAGAAAGGCTGGCCAGCAACAGCTGCCTAGTAAAAGAGTGGGCTACCTGGAAAGGCGGTGGGCTTTTCCTTGCTGGATATTTTAAAACAGAGATTAGGTAACGCCCCAACAGCAAAGCTCTAGCTGGCAATCTGTTGCATTGGTGGGGTAGAGTGGATGACCTTTGGAGTGTCCCTTTCAGTTCTACCATTCTATGATTCTGCCCTTTTATGTCTCATCACGTTCCTGGCGAGGAGAGCTCTGAGAACATGCTTGAGATTGCAGAGGGATAAGCCTACGAATGGACCATACAAAGTACGGATGGAGCCCCAGAATGACTACCAGAACACTCCTGGAATGCCAAGGATAAGGCTGTGGGGTCAAAGCCTAACCACCCTTCCACCGACCTCTAATCTCCCACGCTCTGTGCGACTGCTTTTTGCACAACCGTCCTTCTGAATCCCCCAGCCTCAGGCTTCCTAGGCAAAAACACCTGGGTCGTAGACCCCACCACCACCACCGGAGGCGCAGCCAGAACCGGGCACGGCTGTAGGGTTACTCGTTGGACACGTAAGGGAATGGTTACCTCCGGAGGGCCCTTTCGGCGACGCTGGCCTTGCTGGGGGAGTGCCGGTGGGTGGGGAGCAAGGCGTCCATCTCGTAGGGTTCGCCCTCGGAGTGTGCGTTGGGACTCTCCAAGAAGTCCTGGTCACTCCAGGGTCCGACGGTGCCGTCCACCGCCTGGTACCGAACCTCAATGGAGATGCTGGTCTGGAACGAGAAAGAAACAATCCAACACATCAAAGCATCTCGCATGGATACGTCTTCAGAGAAGTCTCTGTCCCTTGTAGCTACTTTTTCTGTATTATTAAGTGCAATTATATGTGATTTATATATATATAATTGAAGCGCAATTATATATAATTGCACTTAATAATGAGCTTAAAGACCACCAGTAGTGAATAGCTGGACAGTGTGACTTAGCCTGCGGTGTAGATGTTTGTATTCTTAGTGGGGGATTTTAGTGGGTGGGGAGTGTTGGGTGATTTTTTATGTGTGTGCAAGTGGGTCTGGCCTCTGGGTGTCTGTGTGAATTTCGTTGTATGGGTATACTACGAATAGACTTACGTTGACAATAAATTTATTTGAAAAGCAGATATCCTGGTTCTGACCAGAAAATTGTTTCCTCCTTGGATTATTGAGCTGGAGGAAAGGACGCTGAAGGCACTTTGTGTGACAGGGATTATCTTTAATTATTACTCTCAGTCCCAAAGGACTATCAGAGTAGCTGGGATATCTTAAAAAGAGGAGACAACCAACAGCTATGCGGGTTTGATGACTACATGGAACCTCCATGCTTAGAGGCAGTGTATCGGTCAAGGCCAGCTCCTGGAAACCATCCATGGGGTGGACGGTGGACCAGGAGGGAGTGTCTCCAAATGTCAAATCAGAAAATGAACTCTTAATAGCTGTGTTTCACCCCTCGTTGGCCGTGCATTGTGGAGCACACAGTGCAAGGCCAGCTAGACGGCTGAAGGTAACTCTCGCACCCTGCTCCCGACCTCCGTTCATTTAAACAAACAGACAACGTCCCCCCCTCCCTCTTTCTCCAGTTATATTAAATGCAGGCTGCCTGAACTGAAAAGCAAGTGAGGAAGCATAGAGGAGCGTTTCCCATCACTATATGGTTGCCATGGTTACTGCCTAGGCTGGTCCAGGATACGCTGCATGAAAGAGTTTTTCTGCACTGATATGGTAAAAAAAAAAACAGGAGCCAGGCTCCTTGCTAAAAAGCTCCAGGGATTTGATTTGTAAAACCCACAGGGTCTGTCTGCCATGTCGCCCGTGGTCACCGGTGACCTAGAAGAAGGCTCGTGTCTGATGGACACCCATCCAGCCCTAAGCTCCCAAACATTCTTTGCTTTTTAAAAAAGCTGCTAGTCCTCAATGCACAAGCTTTTCACCATACAAATACAGGAATAGGTGAGGCCTTTAATCGGCCACGAAGAATAGAGAATGAAAAACAAATGGTGAGCTCTTGAGGATAAATCATCTTCTTCAAGGCTGTGCGTCAAGTTCTTGAGGATAGTTCCAGACTTTTAGGCTGTTATGAACATCCCAGCATAGACGTTTGGAACGACCTACATGAACTTGATGCACAACCTTGAAGAAGATCATAGAAAAGTGGCTTTGGAAGGGGGCCCACAAGGCCATCCGGTCCAACCCCCTGCTCAGCGCAGGAAGACCATCAAAGCAGATCTGCCGGAGGATGATCTAAGTTTTTCTTGAACATCTCCAGTCCTGGAGCACTCATCACCTACCGAAATCATGTTGTCGCACTGCTCTAACAGTTAGGAAGTTTTTCCTGAGATTCAACCAAAATCTGGCTTCCTTTAACTTGAGCCCATTGTTACCTGTTCTTGCACTGGGATGATCTGAGAACGGATCCTGACCCTCTTCTGTCTGACAGCCTTTCAAATATTTGAAAAGTGCTATCCTATCACACTTCAGCCTTCTTTCCTCCAGGCTAAACATGCCCAGATCTTTCAGCCTTTCCTTCTATAAGGCTTCGTTTCCAGCCCACTGACCCTCCTTGTCGCTCATCATAAATGATAATTCATCATTGAGAGCACACTGCGTTTCCAGCCCCCCTGATCCTCCTTGTCGCTCATCATAAATGATGATTTATCATTGAGAGCACGCTGTTTGTTTTTCTGTTTTGTATTCTGAATGGTCAATTCAGTATTGGTTTCTGTATTTGCATTGTTTCCACGACCCAGTGGCCTTTTCCTGAATTTTTCTAAGATTTTGACAGACATTCTTCCATCGTAATTGAAACCGAGCTGGCGTCTTCAGTTTCCACAGGTGTGTGAACGACCAGGCTGATGAAGAGATTTGGAGTTCTGGAGTCACAAACATAATTTTTCAAAGCACTGCTTAAGCCGGTGGTGGGAATGAAGGCTTCTGGGAACTGCAGCCCAAGAACACCGGGGTGACCCATAGCTGGAAACCACTGACGAAAGCCAGGTTGCAGCCTTCAAACGGACTAAGAATGGGTGAACCAACATCCTCTGAGAGTCACAAAGAACCTTAAGGGCTTTTGCAAGCCACTGCAAAGAAGGGCTGCCGAATCCTCTCCCCCCCCCCAATTTTCACACACATGCCTCTTCCCCCAATGTGCCTGTCAAGGCAAGGGGGCTTAAGGCTTCCTCTAGAGAAGCCTCGTTTCTGGAAAAACCAGACCCGGTTTTGAATCTGACAGAGTCCCAAAGGAGCAAAAGTGGAACTCAAAGTGCAGTGCAAGCCTTAGAAGGTGAGCTTGCATTTTTAAGATGCTCCTTTCGAAATATTTCTCATCCCTAAAGCGAACCCAAGAGCACCACGTTAGCTCAGGGGGTGTGCACTGAAAGATTTAGTCATCTTGTTCTCACTGGTGAGGACGAAAACCTGAAAATTGTTTTATCCTCTAGAGTGAGACAGGAAAGAACTTTATTTATTTATTTATTTATTTATTTATTTATTTATTTATTTATTTATTTATTTATTTATTTATTTATTTGATTTATATCCCGCCCATCTGATAAATCTATACCACTCCGAGCGGCTAACAACAACATATATACAATTATAGTAACATACATTCAAAATAACAATTAACAAACATAACATAAATCATAAATAATAGATAAGAAAAGAAAAGATAAATTAATTTAAATTAAATGCTGGCAGGAGGGAAGGCCTTAACATAGAGCCATGTTTTTAGCTGAGTTTTAAATGTACCCAGGGTAGGGGCTGCGCGAATCTCAGGAGGGAGACTGTTCCAAAGGCGAGGAGCCACCGCCGAGAAGGCCCGGTTTCGTGTCTTCTCCCTCCGGGCCTCCCTCGGCGTCAGGCTCCTCAGCCTCACCTCCTGGCTCGCGCGGGGGATCCGGGTAGAACTTGGTGGGTGAAGGCGTTCCGCCAAATATCGAGGTCCCAAACCGTATAGGGCCTTATATGTAAGCATTAAAACTTTGAAGTCGATACGGAAACGAATGGGCAGCCAATGCAGTCTAGCCAGGATAGGAGAGATGTGATGGTATTTTCTCCCTCCAGTGAGGAGGCTGGCTGCTGCATTCTGCAGAATTTTTTTGCAAGAATTTTTGTTTTCTTTTTGCACAAATTATGTAAAGTGCGGACATTGCACAAAGCAATGAAAGCGGGCTTCAGATCCGATCTGCGATTCCTTCTGGGTTTGCCACGCGCATTGTGTTTCTGCTTTATGTCATAAAGAAAAAAAAAAGACCCTAGCTATAGTATGAATTTTGGAAATCTCAACAAAATGTTTTCTTCTCACGTTGGAGGTGAATCATCTTATGGGGTCAGAAATTTCTTAAATGTATGTGTGTCTATGTCTGTGTGTTTGTGTGTGGGTGTGGGTGTTTGTCCACCTTGTCAAGACCAACAGACTTTTAAAAGAATTCTGCACATCACAAGCCGGGAGCCGAAACAATGTGCAGAATGTCTCTCTCCTCCCTGTGAGATGTGCACACAACTAAACGTACACCCAGACACACCCGTATTACCGAAAGCATTCTGGAAGAACCTCCGCTGTACAAATAAATAAATCAGATTTTGGAAAGTTGCCTAGAATACTCCAAACAGGACGGCCACCAGTAAAGATACACTAATTCCTACCCCCTCTGTCATGAATAATGGGCACAAGACCCCTCCCCATGAGAAAGAAGAACGAGGCAGTGATGTCCTCTTTCCAAAAGACAAAAGTTTATGGATTAATGGAGAAGGAATAAAAAGTGGATGCTGGGGGTGTTGCTATTTTCCTAATGCTGGTCAACAGACTCGCCTATAGATTCTGGTAACCTCTACGTTTTGGCACTCTGGAAGAAAGCAGCGGGAGCTTTTACAACCTCGCATGCTAGTTTGGCTGGAAGGGACCTTTCTTGTGTCAGGTGACGGTCCATCTATCCACTGTTAACCCGTTTCTCTTTCTCTGCCTCTGAATTCAAAGAGGGCTCCGTCTCTTTCTGCTGAGTTTCTCTCTCCCTCTCTGGAGTCTGCGGAAGCCTTTCCCTCAATGCCGTCCTGTTGCTGTTTGATCGGTTTGATTTTTAAGTCACGAGATCTTTTATTCTTTCTCTTACTCAAGTCTCAGAATGAGCGACTGAGCCCGTAAGGGCCAGTCCGTGACAAAAAGAGGGATGGACTACTCTGAGAAACACGAAGCTGTGAATCCGTGGCACTTCCGCTGTGCCGCTAGAGGAATTCAACCCAAAATCCAAAAACTCTGCCACAATAATCCCAGTGCCTCCACCCGATTTACAGCCCTTTTAAGGGAATTCTCAAGAATTCTCATGGAAAGTTCATGCCCAGGTCTTGGAATACAGAAGAGGAATCTAGATGCAGACCCACAGAGTGAGAGCAGTAACTTAGCAAAAGACCAGCCATCGCTTACACCTCCATGATCTCTCACATACCTGGATGGCAGCGTTGTTGTCATCGATCAAGGTGTCCGTCAACTCCAGATGCCCTTCCTCCACCACCTTCTGCAAGACCATCTGGAAGGATCCAACGAGTCTAGGGGGAAAAACACAGAAAAGGCAGTGAGAAACACGGGGGGGGGGGGCAGGACAAGGAATGTTGAACCCTCTCCCCCCCTTTTTTTCCTGATCCTGTTGTCTCAGATTGGTAAGAAGACCTGGCGGGAACCCTCTCTCCCCCCCCTTTTTTCCTGATCCTGTTGTCTCGGATTGCTAAGAAGACCTGGCAGAGAAAACTGCATGCCAAGAGAAGGGTGGGCCAAATCTCTTGTGTGTATGTAGAGGTGGGGATGTAAGTCTAAGCACAGGGATAAGCCAAGGTGCCTTAGACGAGCACAGAAAAGTTACTTTTGTGGACTGCAACAACATGGCCAACTTTTCCAAGTTCAGATGTAAAACAAAAAAAGTCCCTGAAACCATCTTAGGGAGGAAAAAAGATGAATACAGAAAAAAGATGAATACATGAAAAGCAGCTTTGAAGATTTAAGATGTGGCTGCAAGAGAGGTGTTCTGTTTTTCCTCTTTGGTGCCCGGAATTCTATTTAAAACCTGCTTTCAAGAACCTCCCGAAGTGGCTGGCTGAACTAAAAAAGCTGCTTTCCCCCCCTCGATGGTAATTTGAAGCAGAAGAAAAAGTGGATGATGTAGAGCCCGTGGGCCACCAGCACAATATGCATGGCGGGGAACAGTTTTTGCATGCCCCTCCCACCGACACCCACATGGGAAGAGCATCTACAGTTGCACATGGTGCAGGCACGCACTGCAATCAATGGCACTGACCCTCTGCATTTACAAGGAGGAGGAGGATGAGCCACTGTGTGGGCTGTCTGGGTGTTTGGCCTCTAAGCCACCGCGTTCCCTCTCCGGCAGCCTTCCGTTATCAGCAATTAACAATAACGATGCTCTGTTGCCCAGAAGCCTTCCGACAGGAGCATCAATATTTGGACGGGGTGCGGATCAAGAAATTCATTTCTGCCCTTTTGCCGAAAGCTGGTGTCGACAGCGATGAGACGGACGCTAATTAAAACTTCTTCTCTGCCTCGAGATGCAGTCCCTGTCCCCAGGCTGGGGGCAGGTTCCTGACTCCCTCTTGTTTGAGAACACAGGAATGTCAAAAGATGAGGCAGCTCACCCAAATATAGCCCCAATGGTCGGGGAGCAGCTCGTGGCTCCCTCACACACACACACCCAGCCTCTGTTTTTTAATACTTTATGTCAAAAGAAGGGAGAGTGTCTTGTTTTCAAATATCAAAAGCTTACACAGGTAACCAAGTCCAGAAAGAATGAAGAAAAAGCCATGTGGTCCCCAAAGATTACATCAGTGCAAGACTGGGTGGCACCTTTTATTGGTTGGATTTATAAAATCAAGCAAATTGCAAGCTTTCGTGGAGAAAAATCCACTTTTCCAGTTCTTAGCCTTTATGAACAATGGTGCACAAGAGTCCAAAAATTGGTGGCAGGTGTTTGGGAGAGTTCATGTCAGTTCTCTTGAGGCTGGGTCTTCAGTCTCTCCGCATCCTGGTTTAAAAATTGCAACACCCCTTCCTAAGACCAACAGGCTGCCAATTACTCTTGAGTCATTCCATCATTTCCAGCCAGTTCCATCTCCCAGAAAACACACCATTCTTTTGATCATTGGTACTAAGCCAATCATTCTGTCGGAAGCCGTTGTTTGTTTGCTGATGATCTGTTCAGTTGCTTGCCAGTATATGCACGGAAAAGAAAGCAGCATGCACAAGTCTGTTATTTCATGCAACTGTAAGGAAACAGACTTTTATTCTTTGTCCTGTAACAGTCTCAGAGTAGGTTACTGAGACTTAAATTTCTTTTGATCATTGGTACTAAGCCAATCATTCTGTCGGAAGCCGTTGTTTGTTTGCTGATGATCTGTTCAGTTGCTTGCCAGTATATGCACGGAAAAGAAAGCAGCATGCACAAGTCTGTTATTTCATGCAACTGTAAGGAAACAGACTTTTATTCTTTGTCCTGTAACAGTCTCAGAGTAGGTTACTGAGACTTAAATTTCCAGTTAGGAAACAGACTTTTATTCTTTGTCCTGTAATAGTCTCAGAGTAGGTTACTGAGACTTAAAGTTCCAGTTAATGAGAAAGGGGTGGACTCTTGAGAACTTGTAGCTATTCTCCTCTTATTTCTGCTGTGTAGCAAAAAAGCACATTTAACCAGAAATTCAAAACTCTGCAACATCTTGTTTTGACAGCTGCTGTTTTGCAAAAGCTTTATGGGGTAGTGGTTCAGTGGAGGGTATTAGAAGGCAGTTCCTGGCACTGGGGGTGGCGGTGGCAGAGACGGAGGGAGAGAAACTTAAAGGAATTTCCAGAAAAACCCAATTACAGTAATTTTGATCAGTTGCCTTCAAAATTTTCCACTGGCCCTGTGCATAGAAATTATGGGAATTTCGGGGGGAAGGAACTCAGAGCCCTCCTCATAATATCAGAGAAAGTTCTCTAGAAACTTTGGGGAAACAGACCAGCGATGGGAGTCAGTCTGCCTGCTCGTAGTCTTACCTGGCAGCACATCACGCATTAAAAAACGAATGGCTCGTGTTTGCGGGTCTCGTTCCACCACCTGTGCTATGAATAATATATCTTCAGAGGCCTGTATTGTCTTGGGATCACTTTGAACTTTTCCTTTTCTCCTGTTCTTGCAAACATACTGCGGGCGCCAACCCCTGTTTGGTCTAACAACACACACTCCTTGGTGTTCTTCTTTGCTATAACTCCAATTTCCTGGTTGTCTGGGCTCCACAGCAGCACAATCAGAGACACAAGGGAGCCGGGAGACACACAGTCCCGGCTGTGTGTTGTTTAGTCATTAAGTGGTGTCCGACTCTTCGTGACCTCCATGGACCAGAGCACGCCAGGCCCTCCCTGATTGAGGTTTATGGGTGTTGTAGTCCAAAGCAGCTGGAGGGCTCCAAGCTCGGAAGAGCGGGCCGCATCCACCTTGCTCTGCACTGTTTGTTAGCCTATTCACTGCAAATCTGAAAAAAATGGGCTGTTCTAGTCCTGTTCTGGGTTGGGATAGTCGGTAGACTGAGAGTCCGTCCGCACGGGGATTTGTCCCACTGTTTGCTGCACTGACGGGTCGGGTTGGTCTGATCTTTTTTTCTGACATGTGGACATTGCTCGAGCAAACCGGTTTGCCCCAAACCACATCTTTTTGAACCCAATAAGGGGTTCTGCTATTTTGATGCAGGCTGTAGGGCTCCAGTTTAGTCCAAGAACTGGGCATGTTTAATCTTGAGAAAAGAAGTCTGAGGGGTGACAGGAGAGCACTTTTCAAAGACTTGAAAGGCTGTCTTACAGAAGAGGTGCAGGATCTGTTCTCGATGCTCCCAGAGTGCAGGACACGCAACCATGGGCTCAAATGACAGGAAGCCAGATTTAAGCTGAAGATCAGGAAAAACTTTCTAACTGTTAGAGCAGTCCGATGATGGAATTGATGACCTCAAGAGGTGGCGAGTGCTCCAACACTGGAGGCATTCAAGAGGAACCTGGATTCCTGCCATGAGCAGTGGGTTGGACTGGATGGCCTTATAGGGCCCCTTCCAACTTCATTATTCTATGATTCTGTGATTCTCAGAGAGTTTGGTCGCTCAGAAGAGGCTAGACAAGAACCTCGGAGCTTATTTCAGTCCAGCCAAAAGACCGAATCCTTCTTCTTTTTCCAAAGGATGCTAGTTTGGTAAAGCAAGGGTGGCTTTGAACCCACACATAGAAATCCTTTGTGCTTTTTCATCAGAGCCAGTCCATTAACTCCGTGGTCCCCAACCTTGGGTCTCCCGATGTTTTTGGACTACAACTCCCAAAAGCCTTCACTACCACCTCTGCTGGCCAGGATTTCTGGGAGTTGAAGTCCAAGAACATCTGGAGGCCCAAGGTTGGAAAACACGGCTTTAACTGATTTCTCCACCCCAACTTCCGCCTCTCCAGATCAGGAAACATAAGACAGCGGATGCTTAAAGGTTTCTCCGCCTCCCTTTGCCACTGGCCCACCCTCTAGGGCGCTGTCCTTTCCCTTTAAAAAAAGGCAGGCAGGTGAAGAAGCAGGAGTATCCAGGTGCTCCTTCACCCAAGCTCTCAAGACTTCTGCAAAGGCATCATCATTCTCCTGGCTTCCTTCCCAAAGCGCCACCCTCCTCTGCCAACAGAGGAAAAAGGGGCCGTTTCTTTTTCAGGCTGCAGGACAAAGAGACCCCTTGCTTGTTCTTTCAGGGAGAGATGGTCCCTTACTTACTGGACCAAGCTGGGGTTTACCCGCTGATGTTGCTCCAGCGAGAGTGAGTGGGTGGCCTTGGTAGAGAAGAACGGCCAAGGTTTCTGCCCCTCCCCCCTGTTTATTCTTCTTTACTCCAGACAATTCATACATCATCTTTCTGTGCAGGGCACTTCCCAAAACCAGGAGTAAGCCCAGTCGGAAGGGACACAGCTACCACTGAGAGAGAGAGCTGCCTGTATTTTATCTATCGCATTGGTCTCCCACCTTTCCCGACAATGGATTTACAAGGATCTGTGTTGCCTTAATCTTCCCTACTTTGGTTGTTGTAGGTTTTTCGGGCTCCTGGCCATGAAAACCTTCGAGAATACTCCCCTACTTATATCCACACAACAACCCTAGGAGGCAGACTTGGCCAAAGGAGACAGAGTCATTGGCCCTGGACGACCGGGAGGGTTTCACAGCTCAGAGGGGGTTTCCATCTGGATCTAGCAAGTTCCAACCACTGGGCCACACTGTCTCTCAGTTCAACAAGGAAGTTGGCAGGAAGGAGCAGGTGCCTTGCACTCTAAAGTCTCCATGAATGGATATGGAGTTTTTCCAAACATAATTTTATCTCTGTCCTTTCTGTTAATGTTTTGGTATAATTTTTCTGTTTAAAAATATCCAAAACGATTCACTGTGGGATGAAAATAATAAGCATGGGGATCGAATATTAGGATTTCTTAGACTACAAATCCAGTAATCCCCCATTCTGGGAGCTCATTTAGACCGACACCTAAATGTGGCTCGCCTGGGAGA